TATATATATATATATACACACACACACACACACACACACACATTACAGAGGTACCTGGTGCACCAGGAATTCCGGAACCTCTTGAAATAACCGATGACAGCATTACTCTTCATTGGAAGAAACCAGATACAGATGGACACTCCTCGATCATAGAATACATTTTAGAATATCGAGAAAAAACAGAAACTTTGTAAGTAATACAAAATTTTGTGGACTTGTTAAAGAAAAAAACAAAAAATCTAAACATGTATTTTCTTATACATATCTCTATAATTTGTAACCAAGAAAATTTAATTTAATTTCAAGATGGAGCAGAATTACGGAGACAATAATTGAAACTACATATAAATTAATCAACTTAATCACCGACAAGGAATATACCTTCCGTGCAACAGCTGTTAACGAAGCTGGACCAGGGGAAGCATCACTAAATACACCATATCTAAGAATTTCCAAGTTATCAGCGTCTGAGCCACCGACTGTTCTTGAAGCACTTAAAAGTATCGTCATTGGATTAGAAGAGACCATCACACTTTCTTGCGTAATTGGTGGTATACCGACACCTCGTATTACATGGTAATTTTTTATTATTTCATTTTTTATCTAATTGCAGCAGCTAAATATGTCAATTGTTGCTCGAGATATATTGTGAAAATTATTTTCTAGGTTAAAAGATGGCAAGGCTTTCGAAGATAGTGATATTACATATGAAAATCATTTAGCTAAATATACTATTCGAAAAACTACTGAAACATCTTCAGCCACATTTACGGTTAAAGCTCAAAATGATGCAGGAATGGCAGAAACATCATGTCAATTAAAAATTCAAGAATCTCCAAAGATCACTTGCGACGAAAATTTAAGAAAGCAGAGACTAACAGTGGGCGATAAATGGAAAGCCGAAATTCATTTCAGTGGTTTCCCAAAACCGGAAGTAATATGGATGATAAATAACAAAACAATAATTGATAAGCGCATTTCCATTGAGACTAAGGAAACTATATCTATTATTATGATTTCTTCACTTGTTAGAAATGATACAGCTATCTATACAGTGAAAGCATCGAACGAAGCCGGTAGCTCATCGATGGAATGTCATCTTCGTGTTATAGGTTGACTTTTCACATTGATCAAATAATGATGAAAGTTTTAAAGTAAATTTAAAATTAGTGATGTGCATATTTATTACATATTACAGATAAACCAAGCAAACCTCAGGGACCAGTTATCGCAAAAGAAATTAGACAAGATCGCGTCACCATAGAATGGCGACCGCCAATCGATGATGGTGGTGTTGAACTGGAAAGATATACCATCGAGAAATGCGACATGAATAAGAAAGTTTGGACAAAAGTAGGTGATGTTGACAAAGAAGTTGAGAATTTCTGTGTGCAGAAATTACAGCAAGATGTCGACTACCTATTCAGAATAGTTGCTAGAAACTCAGTTGGATCCTCAGATCCTTTGGAATCCGAATCAATTCGAACAAGAACTTCATTCGGTAAAAAAAAATTATGTTTTTTTGTGTATTAAATATTAAAAAAGAATGTTAAGAAAATTATATATAACTTTATAAAATATTCAAATATACACATATTTTATTGGTTTGATAATTAGAAACACCGGGCCCACCGAGAGGACCACTCGAAGTTTTTGGAATGACGAAAACATCATTCACATTAAAATGGGAACCACCAAAGAATGATGGCGGGTCTCCTATTATAGAATACATTATTGAAATGAAGGAGACATCTAAGAAAACTTGGCAAAAAGTTAGTACTCACATTATCTGTGCATTAAGACACTTATTGTCCACAGCACTAAGACAATCTTTATCTTTAATGCTTTCTTAGATTGCGAGTACAAAGGGGGAAGTTACTAATGTTACTGTATCCGATTTAAAACCGGATACATCGTACAATTTCCGAATAATAGCTAAAAATAACGTTGGTGCTGGTCCTCCGTATACAGCAGAAGAAGTGATTACAACCGGTAAACAACCGAGTAAGTTTACTAATTATTTTTTAAATGTTTTATCATATTACTTATTTTCAATCATCATATTACTGATTTTCAATTATTATTAATCTCCAATATAATCTAATAATAAATACGATCGCTTTTGCTTTTGCTTAGAATTAATAAAGCTTACAGAAAACAGCATATACGCGCTACTAGGCATATTTCCATCAACCAAAACTATCGCTATTAAGAGTAAGTTTCTTATTTTTGTTTTTCATGTCCTATTCTTGAATTGTATCTTATCCTTGCGTTTTTTTATTAACAAATTTGATTAGACGCATTAGTATTGGTATATATTAAATCAGGAGACACGCTAGTGTCTCAGCGCTAAGACAAGCATAGCAATATAATTTACCGTATTACCGTATATATTGATCCGAGAATAAAAATGAAATGCAAATATCTCGAATAATAAAATGCCCAATACATATTTTACAAAGTAACACAATAAAGTATATAAAAATTTGCCATTTAATATATAAATATTTATATTACACTTTTACATTTCGACTTTTACACATCAGTTTATGTACTACGGTTTATGTATGCGTATTAATGCATCCAATCGATTTCGCTAAAGATTTCGCTAAATAGTTGTAAAACATAATTATATATGAATTCTAATATAGCAAGACATATGTATATATTGAGCAAATAATAATTTAAATTTTCTTCAGCACCACCTTCGTGCCCGCTAAACGTCCGAGCAACAAATGTCACTAGCAAAAGTGTCACTCTTAGTTGGTCACCACCAACTACAACAGGAGGATCGGAATTGACAGGTGATAATATATGTGCAAATAAAATATAAACTTTTATAAAATGAATTTTCCATTTCGACATTTAATATTACATATTATTTTCAATAATACATATTATTTTCTTCTCACTATAGGTTATATAATCGAGAAGAGACCATTAATCGGAAAAGGCGCCAGGTGGTCGAAAGTTGTCACTTTGGATGCTACAATACACCAATATTGTATAGAGAACCTAAAAGAAAGCGAATTCCTCTTTAGAATTTTTGCTGAAAATAGTTTAGGTCTTAGCATACCTACTAATTCCGAGCCGATCACACTAAAAACTCATGCTAGTAAGCTATTTACTAATTTATATACTAATTTATATTTATATATATATAAAATACAATATAATGTTGTATATATACTATATAGATACTATTATCAAATTATCGTATACCTAAAGTAACAATTTATAATATGCTTTTTGAATTATTTGTAGATGTTCCATCATCACCTACTGCTCCGTTAGAGATGAGACAGATTGCAGCGAATACAATGGTAATCGAATGGGGTAGACCCGAATCAGACGGCGGTGCATCTCTCGAGGGTTATAAAATTGCTATTAGAGACGCGAAGAAAACTATGTGGATGGAAGTGGGAAGAGTTAGCGCGGATATACAAAAATTGAACATTAGAGATCTGCAAGAGAATCACGAATATCTCGTAAGGATCTTCGCACGAAATGAGATCGGATTTAGCGATCATTTGGAATCGGAAGAACCTTTTAAGATCGTACCGACATCAGGTACGATTCTATCATTATTTTTATTTCTATTTTTCTCTACTTGATATCAATTATTTTTAAATAACTTACTCTTTTTAAATAATAATAAGTTTTTAAACAATAAAATCGATTAGAAAATCTTCAAAAACAATAAGCAAGATCAAAATGAGTTTTTGTATTTAAATAATACTTCTAATAGCAAGACATTTTCAGGATGAATATGGATGAATATACATCCTGAATATTTTGGGACATATGTGGAATGTGTTTAGTACCTTATACTAACAAAGATGAAAATTTCAAAATGTCCTGAGACCCATATAAATAAATCTAAAAATGTTCTAAACAGCAATTAACATTCTAATCTGAAATCCTAAAGAATGTCCCAGTCCTTGTTTGTCATAATTTTGAGAATTTACAATATTTTTGGATTTTTCTGATATTCTGCTGATAGATGGTATTATTTCTTGTAAAATTTAGTCAAACTCTCGATATAACCAAGTCTATATAATCAACGCACACAGACGAATCATAATTATTTGTACATGACTTTCGCATGCGCTTAATGCAAGACACGAATGTATTTTTATATCATTGAAGCTAATGAATATAATATTTTGCGAAACATTTCAATTTGCAAATTCAGCATTTTTTTTTTCCAAAAGTCTTTATCTAAAAGACATTCGGAGGGGGGGAGGGAATG